GGTCCGTTGCTCAGCGTGTCTAGTGAGTCGGTGCTGGATGCGGCTCCTGCGCCGCGGAAGCGGCTCGGCGAGGCCGACACGGAGCTCACGGACGTCCGCGCCCACGAGTGGAAGCCGCTGGAGGAGCCGGCTGCAGAACGCACTCCGCCCGCGCCGCCCTTGCGGGCCAGCGCATAGTGCAGGCTGCCTCCTCCGTGCAGCGGCGCAAAGGCGCCCAGCAGCGCGTCCGCGCCGCTGAAGCTCATCTTGGCCGGAGCAGGTGCGGCTGCCGGCGGAGCGGGAGCCTGAAGCCAGGACGGGGAGGGCGGCACTGCGGCAGCTCCGGGGCGGCCGGCCCTTTTATAGCAGCCCGGCGGGGTCCAGCCCCTCAGCAGTTGAGGGGGGGGAGCGGGGGAGGAGGGCCCCGCCCTCTCCGCCTCCTCCCCCAGCGGCCCGGGGCCGACCGGCTCCGCCGCAGTGAGAGGGGTGGGGCAGGGTAACCTAGGAGTGAAGGGGAATCGATGCAGCGTCAGAGGAGCCCCCCGAGGCCGAGTCAGCGGGTGGAGGACTCCCGGAGTGGACCAACAGGGACCCCCGGATGCGGGTCGGAAGACTCTGCTACTATGTTCGGAATAAGGGAAGGAACCAGAAGGGGAGAGGACAAGGAGACCTGATAGGAATAGGGGCAGGATGCCTAAGGGATGTAGCAATAGAAGACTCTGTAGTCAATAGGATGAGGGGGGCCTCTGAATGAGAGGGGCACAAGATTCTCCTAGCAGTTAGCCCCTTATGATCAGGGGTACAGAGTGTCTGCAGCCGGCCCAGAATAGGGGAGGGAGAAAAGTAATCTAAATGGAGGTGTAGTGGACGCTACAGAGGATGGAGATAGACGACCCCTGAATGGAGGTATACAGTTCCCCTAGTAGCTAGAGGGGCCACCAGGAGAGGGCTCAGGGAACTTTGCTGCCAACTCCAGAAGAGGGGAGGGGGACCTAGAGTTGGCGAGGGCGGCAAGGCTACCCTGAACTAGGGTTGTGGGAGACACTGCAGAAGATGGAAAAGGGAAGCCCAGATGGGGCGGTGGGGCACTGGGATCTCTGCAGATAAGAGATGGGAGACCCTGCAACTGACCCCAGCAAGGGGAAGCCTCAGTGAAGTGGGCAGAGGGTCCCCTGTAAAGACAGGGTGTGAGGGTCAGAGAACCCAAAGTGGGGGTGCTGTGGGGTACTGAGCATGAAGTTGGGAGAACTGACGTCTATGTGGGGTGGGGAGAAGTGATAAGTGTGCTAGAAATCACTCAGGCCAGGGTCTGCATACTGAGGTCAGCTCCACAGTTGGTGGCCAAAGGACCTTGGGAAAGTTGTGCACCCTGCTCGGTTTTCCCCGTTTGTACAAAGGACCTTGCCCTGGGTCAGTCTGCAACTCTAGAGCCTCTGCTTCCCCAGTAGCTTTTTCTTTGTGTGTGTGGAGGGAGTCTCTTGCTGAATTGGAGGAGAACCCTCCTACTGCCTGTGGATGTAGCAGCCGCTTTCCCACAACTAGGAAGTCCATCTTTCTTCCTCTAACCTCCCTGCTTTTCAGCTTCAACTTGTCATCTCTCCCCCACACCCACAACAGACAAGTGGGTGCCATGATAGGCCTTCATTCTCAGCCCCAGAGAAGTGGTGGGATGCTTTCAGAGTATCAGAGTCCCTCACCCCCATAAGCTCTAATTCAGGTAGAAAAGGGGGCCCTGGTATTTGGAGGGCCTTGCAGCTGCTCTTGTAATTTGGCTTTTTCTTGGTTTTGGCTCAAGTTAAGTGCCTTGGGAGTTGGGGCGGCGCTGCGGCTGGTGCTTCAGCACCAGGGACAGGGCCTACTCTTTGTTGGGGAGAAAGGGGTTAATGTCTTGAGGGGTGGGGAGGGAGGAATGCCATTCCTACTTTGCTCGAGCCCTGTGCTATGCAGATGGGGAACTGAGGAGGGTGAATGACCCAGCAGGGTCACATCGGGAGCCAAAGATCCAGGCCCTTGACCTTCTGCTAGGGTCCAGTCCCATTTTCCATTAAGTTCTCCTACATACACATCTGGGCTGCCTTGCCCCTCCATCGGGAGCTGAAGGGACACCCCTAGATGCCAGATGCCAGGAGGGAGCCTTGAGGCCCCCTGGCGAGTCAGCGTAGACTCCCCCCCCAACCAGACCCGAGCCTTCCTCAGGCAGTTATCTCAACCCCACTACGTTTCCAGTTTACAGGGTTTTCCTTTTGTAGGATCCCCAGGATAGGGACAGACAGATTCCCCCAGGAAAGACCTCGGCCAGTTCATTTCTCTTTGCCATTTACCTCATTCCCAGACCCCTGGTTCTAAGCAGACCCCCAGAGATGGGGAAGGATGGTGCTGTCCCTTTAACCACGTTTTACTGGGAGGAGAGTTTGCTGGGGAGGAAGAAGGAGGGGGAGGGGATTTTCTGGTTTTGTATGGAGAAGCAGAACATGATGAAGCATTTTTCCCTGGCTAAAGATCCAGTCCAGCTCCAGTTTGCAGGGGGCAGAAGGTCTGGTTTTCATTTGGTGCTGGGAGGATGGAGGTGAGTGTCTGATCTGAGGCTTCTGAGAATGGCATGGCGCAGGGGGGCTTGAGGAGGGCCCCCATGCTCTCACATGGCTTCCAATTTACTTGTCATTCTGCTTGGAATCTTGCCAGTAGAGCCCTGTTCCTGTGGGCCTTTTCAGTCATCTACATAATGCAGATGCACCCTCTGGGTGTAGGAAAGCTGATAAGCAGCTGAAAGCAAGGGGGAGTGGCAGGAGAGGCTGGGTAAAAGAGGAGAAGGGGCCAAGGTGGATTCTATGAAGGCTGGGGCAGGCGACAACCATGGGATCACAGCTGCGTGTGAATTCCTAGCGAGAAGTCCCAAGCATGATTCTTGTGGCTGGAAAAAAGTGACATGAGGGTGGGGGTGCTGGGGTCAGCCTTCCCGGAGGGCCTTTCAGGTTGACCTCCAGGAAGCCATCCCTGGCTTCTTTTACTCCCACGTGTAGTCAGTTATCTCCATGGTCCCCAGTGCTAATCTACCATATCACACTTACCACTCTGGCTTGTCATTGGGTGAATGAATGGATGGATAAATAAATTTCATTAGTTCTCTAGCCAAACTTGTGGTCTAGAGGGAACCGAAAATGATTCTGCCCTGAGTCCTTGGGTCTCAAATCACTTTCATCTTCCTGCCCTCAATTCTTACCTTTTGGAAGTGAGTAGAAAAATATATTCATTCATTCATTCATTCTTCACATGTTTACTGAGTGCCTGCTATGTGATAGGCATACACAAAACTCTGGGATCCAGAACCCCACAAAAGTCTAAAATTTTCTCCCTGATTCAAGGGTTCTCACATCCTCCCCAAATCCCACTGCAGCATTTCCCAAGGCACCTTCTTGAGGATGATGATAAATATTCCTCTAAAAAGAGAGGAAAAGAGGAGTTTCATGGCCAAAGGAGTTAAACAGGGTTCTTGGCACAACTCTTGGAGCCTGGAGTTGGCGATGAGCAATCGGAATCTCCCAGAGGTGCCGAGTTCCTCCAAATTTGTTTGACTACAGGCCCTTCTCATCCTCAAGTGTCACCCACAGTGGTGCATGCTGGAGGACCCACTCAGACTTGAGCTCCAGCCCCTGTTCCCCCTGGGCTGCCATCTGGGCTCCTGTGTACCCCTAAGGTTAGTGCTCTTCAGGAACAGGGCTGCAGTGTGAAGGATAAAGTAGTACAGCTCTCTGTGAACATCAGACAAGCATTGTTGCCACTTAATTCATTCCTTCATCGTCTACAAGATTCATACAGCATCCCCAGTGGTGAGTGCTGGAGACTCTGAAGAATGAGGCCCTAGTGAGGGGGGATCCGTCCCACGTATACAGTAAAGAGAAAACTCAGCCAGCCCTTTTCTCTTGGTATCTCCTGGTTCTCTAGGTGAGGGTCATTGTCCCTATTTTATAGGTAAGTAAACGAAGACCAGAGTAAGGTAGTGAGTTGCCTGAGTTGACCTGGTGACAGTGTCTCAAAACATCCAAACTCAAGCTGGTGCTGCCCACAGAGGGTGGAAACCTATTTCTCTGGCTCAGGAGGGGCCCAGATGGCATGAGGCTGGAGGAATGAGAAGCCCCCAAAGAGAGAACAAGCAATTGGCCGGGTTTGGGGTCTGGCCTCTGACAGATTGCCCAGCTGAGGGTCCCTGTGACCTATGACCCAATGTCAGCACATCCTTTACATGGGGGCTCACTCCTAGCCCGGGCATCCTGCACCACTGTGTCACCTGTCTGGGGAACAGCATGTGACCACTATTTGAGGGTGCATTTGCTAAACTTATTCTCTTCCTGCTTTATTTCTCTCTATTGAACTTGACCTTTTCTCACATGGAAAATTCTACTATCTTTTCCCCTTCTGTAGAATGTGAGCTTCATGAGGGCAGAGATTTTAGTCTGTCTTATTCAGTGCTGCTTTCCTAGAGCTTGGGACAATGACTGGCATACAGTAGGTGCTTAACAAGTAGTTGTCAAATACCTGAGCAGCCCTGCCTGAGAGGCTGGTGATCCCTTGGGCATTTCAGCACCAGGCAGCTGGACAGTTCCCGGTCGGCTCCGCCCTTGGAGAGCGGCCACTGCAGGCTTGGAGACTGCCAACCAGCCTGAGCTGTGCAGTCAACTTTGCTGGGGCTCAAGCCCTGCCCGCTCCATTGCCTGTAAACTCACCTCAGTAATACCTTCTCCTCTTTTAGTTTAGCAATTATTTTTTATCTACCTATGAAGCACCAAGCATTTCTCTTTCTCCTCCTTTCTCTTCTCCTTTGGTGTTACTCACGCCCCATGTACTCAGTCTCTCCTTCAGTTCCCCTCTCTGTCTCCTTCTGTCACATTCTTGCATCTCTCCCCTACTCCCAGTTTCTCTGTCCTCCTTAGCCCTTCCCTCCTCCCCTCTTCCTCCTCCTGCTCCTTAGAGGTGTCCTATTTTTGCACGACTTGATTTATAGTAAAAGGGAGGCAGCCTCCCCCACCCCACACACACACTCCCTTTATGAAGCAGACAGCAAAAACTGAACTACGTGCAGCTTTTTATAAGCCTCCCCCTCCTAGTGTCCACCCACAGTTGTAACCACAAGGGGACTGGCCCCAAGCTGATGAAAGCGTGCAGCGGACTGCCTGCCTGCCCACCCGTCTGCCACCCTGGAACGACACTGAGTGGGAGGCTGAGTTCTGCCACAAAGGTCAGGAGCTGGTGGGTGGATTTACAGATCTGCCCCAACTCCCCTGCTCCAGTTCCCTTTGTCAGCAATTATGGATGAATGATTTTCTGGCTGT